CAGGTACCACTGACAGAATTGGCAATTGATTGGATGCTAGGGAATGGGAGAGGGAGGTTGGTGACTGAACCTGGGAGGAAGCGTTGTGAATGGAAGTAGGGAAGATAGAGGAAGGTCAAGTTTCGAGTTCAGCTTTTGGCACGTCATTGGTGGTAGTGTTCCATAGTTGGAAACACAGAACTTGTGCTTAGGAAAGACAATCTTCAAAGAAGGTGATGGAACAGGGAAGGAAATGAAATGGAGGGAGGAAATAAGAAGAAAGGAATGAACAACTTTCAAATGATGCAGAAGGGGGCAGCTAGGTGGCACAGTGGATAAAGCACCGGCCCTGGACTCAGGAGGACCCGAGTTCAAATGCAGCCTTAGACACTTGACACTTACTAGGTGCATGACCCTGGGCAAGTCACTTAACCCCATTGCCTAGCCAAAGAAACAAATGATGCAGAAACCTCAAGGATGAAGAAGGCTGGGCAATGCCCATTGGACTCATTACTAGTGTCCCAGAAGAGGCCCGTCTCAAGAGAAGTGGAGACTCAATGCAGCTTGTAGCCATTTGAGGTGTTTCCCATCACCGGGAGTCTTCAGGACGCTGAGATAACCACTTATCAGGGATCAGAGGGTCTTTTTCACCTACTCTGTCTTGTACAACAATTATTCGTGTATATCGAGTGTCCTAGCTCCTTGAGGCTGTTAACTGACTTACAACTGGTTCTATCCCTGTCAGTTATTTCATATGTAATTACCTCTTCATTTGTCTATAATCCAGACAAAATGCTTGCTTTTAAATAGTCCTGTAACAACAACAAAAAAAAGATGACTTCAAAACACTCCTCTTCTTCAACAAAAATGTAGCTTGGAGCTCAGGGAAACGTTAAGTCTTAAATATCTAATTTCCATATTCTGTAACAAACATGATAACTCACAAACTACAAATACTAACGTGAACATTGTTTAAACAATAGACTCAGATGATGGCTGTGATTGTGAATTCTCTCAAATGGATAACTTGAAAAATTATGTCCAAGTCAGCCCCTTTGATTAAAATAATTATAAAGCACTCAGAATCTGAATTAAGGGAAACATTATGAAACTGACCAAATGTTCAAAAAACAAGGAACCATTCCATTTCATTAAGTACACATTACCAAATAACTTCAAAGGCAAAAAGCCTAGCTTCAAGGCACTCTCTAAAGAGAGTGATAGCAAAAACTCTCCTTCAAAATTTGATAGCCAGCTTGGATCACTGATTTCAAGACTGATGCGCCATCACTTTATCAGGTGGGGCCCTAGACATGCTTGGCTTTACTCTTGCTCTTTGTTGCTGGCTGTATAAACACTCTCCTTTCTCCAGTTCTGGACAGAGAAGGACAGAACCTGGACCTGTGAATATATTGGTATATGGTTTTTCCACTATGGCAGGTTGGCCTCTTTAGGCCCTGAGAAATTAAGTGACTTGTCTAAGGTAACACAGCCACTATGTATCACAGAGAGGACTAGAACTGAGGTCTAGATGCTAGCTCTCACTAAACCATGCTGCCTCTCTGGTTTTGGAACCATAGTCAAACTCCTGCAAAGTGTATATAAGTCTGTTCCCCAAAAAGGCTCCACTCATTATCGTGGTCAATATCCAGACCTACAATGTCTTCCCTGCCTTTGCCGCTTTCTTCCCTGTTAGTATGTAAACTCTTCCCCGCAGAGCCAGACTTCACATGCTTGCCCCTCAGATTTGTGCTAACAGAAAATAAAAGATGCACCAGGATGTTCAGTGTAACCTTACAATCGATAAGCAGGCAGTTACTGCTCACCCACCAAACTGCAATGCCATAGTCTTTAACAGGATAGAAGGCTTGGCAGAGGAAATTAAAATGGGAGTGAAGTAAGCAATCTTTAGAAAAGAACACTTCTTTTAAAAATTGTATATAACACACATACACACATATATATACATATACAGATGAAAACCATCTTGCTTATTTCGGAATTTCTCAAAATAAGAGTAAAAAGCAAACTAAACTAGTAGGAGACCTTTTTTTTTTTAAATTTATTTTTAACCAGGTTCATTCTAATAGCAAGTTGGATACATCCTTGGCAAGATATTTGGAAGTTAAGATTGTGAGATTACTCGTATATATACTTGGTAAATACCTTATTCTGCAATCCACAAATACATACAACACAGCCATCAAAATAGATTGTTCATTCATTGATGCTAAGATGTCACCTGGCCTATAGAGCTTGGAGAGGAGAAACAGAAAGGCAAAAGGCAGAAGTTTACAATATAATTACAGTTCACAATATGTAATAAATAGAACACATTGCCATAAGATAACAATCAATGGTTTTGTTTGTTTTTTTTTAAATCCTCATTTTCTTATTCTGGTAAGCTCTCAAAAGAAATTTAATTTTTAATTCAAAATGCATTGTGTGAAATGTACATACAAATCCTAACTGGACAGAATAGAAAAATATCTTATTAGGATGATAAGAGCAGCTGGTATTGTTATAATTTTGTGGTTTATAAAGCAGTTTACATAAGTACTTGTTTGAGCCTCACAACAGCCCTGTGAGGTAGGCAGGGCAGATATTATCTCCATTTACAGACGAGGAAACTGAGGAATAGAGAGCTTGAATGATGTGCCCAGGACCACGGTGGCACATGCCAGAGGTGGGATTCAAACCCAGGTCTTCTGAATCCAAATCTAGTGCTCCTTCCCTCAGACAACAGGGCAGCCAGAAACTGCTTTATGATCAATGTTTGCTTCTTGCATTAGTCAGAAAAATCCTCAAATTTATGTAACATACTACATAATATGCAATTTAAGCCTGCTTAAGAATTATGAATATAAAAAACACTATTTCCACAAAGCTGCTAGTTAGGTGAATTATACATATAAATAGAGCTTAAAAGGTAAATTTGTTAAATTTTTACAGAAAGACCAACTAATTACTGTTGATGGATTTTATAACCTATCAGCACTGTTAAATGAGAAAATACATTTTTTCAAGCCTGTAATACTAAACACTAAACCCCAAGTTTTGCAGTACCAAGGAGAATGGAACTGTGCTACCCAGGGGTAAGGATAGTGCATGTGACGGAAGGTATAATACTTTAACCTGGACTTAGTTGACATTGTGGTTTCCCTACAGAGTGAATTATGATACATTTCAATGCTATGAACCCATGGATTTTTCATATGGCTGATTAAAAAAACCTGAAGATTTCAGCAGGAAAACTGTTTGATTTCAAAATTTGATATATAAATTCTAATATTTAAAAAGGTTAGTCCCCATTCACAAAGATAGCATATTTATGAAATTAAAATGAATTGACAACTTTTACAAAGAGGTAAAAACCAAAAGGCTCAAGTGGCAAAAACAGATGGTAAGCATCATTAAAAAAAAAATCTCAACATCCTCATGATATTTCGGTTGGCTTGTACATATCAAAAGAAACCATGACAGTAATAGAAATAATGCATATCTGCTTAGAAACAACTGCCATTTCATAGTCGAGCATTAATGTGTCATGAAAATTACCATTATCAGGCATTAGTAAGATGGCAATGACTCATGCTTGACATACTCCCCCTTTCCCTAGGTTCCACACAAACACTAGGAAATGCATGAGAAAATAAAAAAAATATACGAATAATCTGAAATATTTAGCATGCAAAATTAATTATTTGGAGGAAGGTATTAGAAGATGAGATAAAACAGCTGAGTTTCTGTTATTGTTTTCAGCTCTCGGTATCATGTCCTTCGCTAGCCCACTTGCATTTTTCTAGTTGATATACTGGTCTTGGAAGCTCCAATAGAAAATACAGTGTCAAAGAGAGGAGGACATATATACCAGTAAGAAATGTCTTACTACTGCAACATGGTAGTCGTAAGTCAGGTTACTAGGGAAGGCTAATGCCTCAAAATAAAAAATCTGAGTATCTGCATAAGAGCTGAATACAAATCATCCTCAGATGTAAATGCATTGCTAAGCCTGTGGAACTTCAGCTATTACCTCCAGCTGATTCAGAATAAAGCAGAACAACCAACTACGTCTCCTTTTTTGTCTTAGTTCCTAGGCTTGAAGCCTTCAGTAACTAAGTAAAGGAGCCAGAAGGGACTCTGGAGATCATCTAATCCATCATCTCACTCTCCAGATAAGGAAAGAGGAGAGTTTAAATGATTGGTCCTGTCAAAGGTCAAACAGGAAGTTAGCAGAAGAGGTGGCTGAGAACTCCGCTTTCCTGATTACAAGCCCAAGGCTCTTTCTACCACAGTAAGCAGCATCTTTCTGCATTGTAGCTGTCAGTAAACCTTTCTGAAGGAAGATAGGCTTACACATGGTGGCAGAGCCAATGTCTGATCAAACACAAATTCTATTCTCCAGAGTCCTCCTAATGGCAAGCACCAGGAAGTTGAGCTATTCATCAGCCCCATCCCATGTGGAAATTCTTGTAAACGATGGTAGCTGACAATGCTCTCATGGACACCTCTGCCCCAGTACCAACACTGGCTCACAAACGGTGAAGAACGAGATGTGGAGGGGTAGGAGGAGGGTGGGGGCTGAGTGAGGCACAGAAGAGGCGGCCCAGCAGAAAAGACATTCTAGGCAAGCAGAGGAAAGTAGACCCAAGATAATAATGTCCATTTAATCATCAAATCTGTTCAGCTAGTCTCATTATTTGTCCATTCAAGAGTGAAAATTAATACAAAGGAAATGGTTTTTCATTATTGCAACAACAACAAAAAAAACAAACCAAACATGAGTTGATTTTAGGTAAAAGGAATTTTCAGAAAATCATGTCAAATGATGAACTCTCTACACCTTTATTTCCTCAGACTCTCGTATGTGCTTACCACTTAAAAGTACTTCACAGGGCTGCTGGCTGCTACCATAGTGATATTATGTCAATGAGGTTAATAAATCACACTCTGAAGTACCGACTTTTTAGAACTGTTCCCATAAAAAAGCTGAAAATTTTGTAAAAAAACATTGCTACATATTTATTTAATAAAAGGGCGTGTTTATTTATGTTTACAAACAGGTTTCAAAAACAAAAGGAAAACATGTATGCTACTACTAACCTTTTTTTTTTTCAAAATGCCAACAGCCCTCATGCCGTATGAAGGTTTCTTAAGATTTATTAGAAAAATCAACACAGTTCACTCACAGTTCACCAAGACATCACTAAACTAACAGGTTTAGACAAAAACAAAAAAGACTAAGGTTTTGTTGTAGTTTGATTTAATTCAATTTGCCTGAAATAACAAAAGCATTTCAAGCAACTTTCATTACGTAATTGATGTCCCGCATTAAACAATCTACTAAATTCTGAACAAAAAGTTATTTAGCAAGTTTTTCAAAATTTTTAAAAATTAAACAGTTGTTTTCAAAACCATTAAGTAGTAAATGTATTTAAGAAACTAATTAGGACAGAGGCCATAACTTCATTAGGACACCGCTGCTCATGTTTTCACAAAGCATTAGTGTTATCTATTTGGCTATCAGTATTAGCAATTTATCTACAATATTTAACAAGGTAAATTGTAGGCAAAAATTTAGTACAGTTTCAATAGAAACACCCTTTTTCCTGAAAATACAGCAGTATTTGAAGGACTAATTTTTCTCTGCATCAGTTATAAGGAAGCTTCCCATCTATGAACAGGAACAATAAAAGTATCTACAAACCTTGTAAACAGATCTGTATCATTTATAAACATAAATAATCCAAATTATTAACAGCCGACAGCAGAAATTAAAGTATCAATTCAATGATCCAGGGCTCCATCGTCTTTCTCAGCTTTCCTCCTCCCTCACCCCCTTCAAGGATCAAGAGAAACTAAAGCTTCGCTAAACCCACTGTTCAGGACCATTCTGCAGGATGATCGATGATCCACAGGCCACTTATGCCGAGTTACTGTTTATCAGTCAGAGTTCATTACTCCCCACCCCCCAAAAAGCACCCTCAAAGTCTGGCGGAAAGCTTTTTTGTTTTAAAAAAATAAATCTACATTCGTACAAGTATGTCTTCTGTTGAAGTCCAAGACAAGAATACTATCTTGTCCATCACAATGTGTGAAAAGACCCAGTTTCAATTGGTTTCTTTACAATGCAGCTAGTGTGTTGACATTCAGCTTACGATCAGAGTGATGTTTCCAAGCTATGTAGTGGGCTTCCTGGGGATGAAGAGGTAGCAGACTTGTTCGCTTCTATTGTAAGATGAATTCCGCTGTCCACGGCATTATTATTTTTGTTGGGGGAGGGGGGAGGACTCGAGTTACGCTTCGTGGGGGCATCGTCTTCAGCGTCAGTGTCATCAATAAGGGGAATGTGAGGCTCAGAGTCCTCTATCCTAAACTCAGGATGCGTCATAAAGTTGTGAATGGAACTTCGTGACTCTGGTTTTTCTAGCCCTTCATATAAAGAACTACGAAATGCATTCACCACTCGAATCTGCAAGGAGAGCAAAGAGAATGGTATCAGAGGGTTACAGATGGGCCGCCACTGAAAATGGCTTATTTATGAGTCTGAATCCACAAACAGCAAGGTATGAGTGAGTCATATTTGCATGTAATGTGCAGTGGGACTTGCAATAACACTGTAAAAAAACCAAACATTTTAGTAAGACACTGCAAGAACAACAAAACTACACACTCTAACAATCAAGGTGTCCAGAGTTTAAAGTTGTGTTAAAATAATCACATCAGTGGCCAATGGCTAAGACTTTAAAAGTCAATGTCCAAATGAAGCCATTTAAATAAGAGATTTTAAACAAAGCACAACAAAAACATAACTATACATAAGCTTAGCCCATTTTCATTACAACGTTTATCGGAAACCAATCAGAAAATGCCGAACAAACTCAAGCACAAAGGGTTACTATTTATCATGCTAGGAATTGGGGGAGCACCAACTATGAAAAAGCCAAGCAAATATAAGCTGAATGCAACAATGAATTGACAACTATTCCTCTATGCCCTTAATTTAAAAAACAAAACAAAACCAAATCCCTTCAAAATATGCAAATTATGCCACATTAACAGTTATAAATATTTGAGTATATGCCCATTTCCCTAATGAGTTTGAATATTCCATTCAAGAAACACATCCTAAACAACAAACTATATATATGCCACAGGGGAGAAAAAGATTAACATGAAAGGCACTGTGATTTCTCTAGCATGATTTCCCTGTTAAGAGCAATAGGTATGTAAACTTTCCTATTAAGTCTTTCACTGAACCCAAAAGATGTAAAGTCTTGCCCCAAACTAAGTGACAGACTTGGCAGAATTCTTATTATATAAGGTTTTCTGAGAAGGATGAACTAAAGCAGGTCTTAACATAAAGAACTCCACGTGAAAAGAGTTCGACCATCTTACTCAGCAAGTCTCAGTGTGGATTTCAATGAAAGAAAACACCTCAAGCGCTTTTATTTTTTATTATATTTTAAATAAAAGTAACCTAGTTTAAAAGATACACACATGCCCTTTCTAAGGCTCAGATTTCTCCTTTTTCCAATAAACCCCAAATCAGGTACAGCTCTGTTAATTGTGAGTAGGTACAATACTCCATGTAGTCTCAACAATTAAGTATACAGTACTGCATCCGTTTACATTTGTGTTTATTGCTTTGTAAATTATTCTTTAGTTGACGTGTGTATATTTTGTTTCTTCTAAGATGAGGCACCATACACTCTTGTGAGTGCACAGGTATGCAATAATGTTTCCAAAGTGAATAAGGATAATAATTACAAACATATGTATATATGTATGTATGTGTGTGTGTGTGTGTGTGTGTGTGTGTGTGTGTGTGTGTGTGTATATTTCAGGTGCCTAACATTACAGTAACCTGCAGAGTGTGTGTGTATGTGTACACACTTAGGCAATTAGGCAATTGGGGTTAAGTGACTTGCCCAGGGTCACACAGCTAGTAAGTGTCAAGTGTTGGTCTGAGGCTGGATTTGAACTCAGGTCCTCCTGACTTCAGGGCCAGTGCTCTATCCACTGTGCCACCTAGCTGCCCCAAAAACTCGGGTTTAACCTGCAGTATATTTAAATTTAGTAAAACTGTGTACCACTTTGAGTGTAAGGTAGCACAGTATATACTTAGCTTAAGTTTCTAGTCTAGGGTAAGACTGGTGGAAGTTCTGCGCCTACAGGCTTTGAAATACCAGTAAGAACTCAGACTTGGACCTTTCTTCCAAATCCAAATCCTAGTGGTTTGTGCATTACACCCTTTGGTAAAGCTAAATGAGACTAATAATTATAAAGTGCTTAACTCATTGCCTGGCACATAGTAGGTGCTATAGAAATGTTAGCTATTATTATTAACATTTACATAAAGACAAGAAAATGGGGAAAAAACTCTAAAATCTTATATATAGCATAAAAATAAGGCAAAAGGGCACATTTACAAATTAAAAGTTAATTATAAATAAAACTTTATGCTCAATTCATTAAAAAAATCTTGATCACTGGAACAAGTTTATAGGCCAGGTCATTTACCTTAAACGCCACGTCATCTAAAGTTATTTCAAGATCAAAGTCAATGGAAAAAACTGAATATATATTCACTTGGTAGCTATGCTTATCAGAACAGAAGTGTATCCTCCAAAGGTCAGAGAACAATCAAGTATAGGCCAATCATTAGTGCTTGTCATCTGGCACCACTTTTTACTTTAATATTCTAAGATGTTCATGATTTCATTCACATGTAATGCCTCCATTAACAGGTTGCAACTACTTTAACCCTTCTAAGCAGCCTTCACCAGATGCTTCACCCCCCCCCCCCCGAATCATCTGACAATCAGAATGTTGGAGGCATCTCCACTCTGCCTCACTCTGTCCTTTCCAGCTGGTGAAGCCCAGCCCTTGACATCCCAGGTCCACTGGCACAAAGACAGAGAGGAGGGCTCTGGAATAGGAGTTCCCATGAAGGCCATGCTCCCCAAGTTATTGTGGAAGTTATGCCACAGCCAACAGGTCATGCTGAGCTCAGACACAACAAAAACTCTCAACTTCTCGCCAACGGGGCCACTTACACCAGGCCTCCCGCATCCTCTACAGTGTAGTGCTTTTATCTCTATTCAGCTTCTTCTGCTTGGTCTAGGTCTGTTTTCGCAGCCTGCCAAGATTATCTTGGATGCTAATTTTGTCACCAAGTACATAAGCTGTCTCTCTCATCTCTGTTTCATCAGCAAAGCATACCTCTTTGAGGCTAAGTCACAAGTAAAACTGTTAAACAAAATAGGGTCCTGTGGCATGTTACTAATGAACTCCTTACTGATAAACAGTGATCTATAATTTATGAAGAAGGTCATTCAATCAGGTATGAATCCAATTAAATTACAGTTACCAAGTCCCAGCATTGTCTTGGTCTCTCCTATTCAAAAAAGCAAACAAGGTCAGTTTGAATCTTTGGTAAACCTGTGCAAACTCCCACTGGTCACTGTTTCACTAAGTGCTGAGAAATCACTATTTGGAATTTTGACTAATGTCAAAGGTCACTCAGTGGTCCACAGTTTTTGTAATCTCCCTTCTTCTTTTTTCACACCTTGCAAAGGTGGCATTTGCCCAAGTCTAGCCTCTTGGAAGCTTTTGGTTTTCACAATTTTCCTCAGGATTACTCAAGCAGGTGAGAAATTGGAGCAAAACCTTTTCCAGTTCATGGAACATAATTCACTGGACCTTGGTGCTGGATTCATTTGGAGCAGCATTCTTGCTACTTCCTCATCTACCTTGGGCTTCCATTCTCTCTTCACCATTTATGCTTGGCTCTTTTTAGTCTGAAGATCCTTCTTCTTAACAGAAAGGATAGAGGCCAAGCAGAAGGTCTGAGGTAGAAACTGAAAAATCACCCAAGACTTGGCTTACTGGCTACCTAGAGAAATTTCAAAAATCAGAGGTACCTCTCCCATCTTAGCAGCCACAATGTATATAAAACACTCTGCAAACATTTAGGTGCTAAATAAATGTCAAATATCAGCCTTATTTCTGAACCTAAGTCAATGGGATCTAGATTCTTACAATGAAATACTCGAGAGGTAGCAATCTAGGAAAGCTTTATTTTACCTGACTGGATGAAAGTCCTATGATCCTCAAGTCTGTTTATATATAATATATGAATATAAATAAATATGAATATAAAAAATAAACTTTGAGTAAGATCACTTAGTGACAGGCACTGCTGGAAAAAACAGGAGGGAGCCCGTACTGAGAAACAGATGCGCTAAACTTGTAGCTAAAGGTGTTGTTGAGAATATCTGAAGCCCTTGGACTAAGTTGGCCTATTAAAGTCATAATGCTTCTAAGACTTTATTTAGAATGAATTTCAAAGAAAACAATGTAGAAAAACTGTGTCACTCCAAATTATGCTAGCTGTTAAAATGGTAAGTGTATTCAGTCTCAGAAAAGTTACATACTGTTAATGCTAAATTCTTTTTGAGAAGGTCAATCTTTACAACACTCCCAAATAAAAGGGGTAAAAATGGTGTTCTTGTCATAGGAGAGACAGTTATTTGCACATAATCTCCCATCCTGGGGTGGCAGTCTGATGTGGTGCAAAGTGGGTTTGGGGGCTTAGGTTTAGATTCTGGCTCTTATTAACCATGTGACTAGGTCATCATTGAATCTCACTTTGCTTCAGTTTCCTCTCCATAGTAAATGGAGGAATAATAGTATTATCTTGCAATGAGATAATATATATGAAGCATTTTGAGTAAGTATTGAGTGCCAAACAAAGTACTACTATGCCTCTCCTCCCACTGACTTCCAGAAGTACTTCTGAGATCTGCTAATGGAAAGAGAGAGAAAACTTAAAAGTATAGTACTCAAACAGGAAAATCTCCCCTTCTTCAACTCATCAGTTTTCACCTCCCTGCCCCAAAGGTAAATAGATTTTAGCCCTAGATTGAGTTGAGCCCCTTAGAGGTCAACAAACTTTCTTGGGGGTGAGTGTGAGTGAGGAAGGTGCTAAATATTTGTTAAATACCCTTAGTTTCCCATTATCTTGAGGATGATCCACCATGATAATCAGGATACCAGGAATTCACTGTAAAGGTGAAATAATTAAATCACAAGACTTTTAAGACTTTGTTATTTTCTGAAACCTTGAGGGGAAAAAATCTGTTAATAATAAATGGAAAATCACAGAAATGTAATTGTCAATGAATAGTCCATAACATTTCCCCACATTTTAACCTTGCTCAATTAAATGAACATAACTAGTCTACTGAATCATTTGAAATGACTTTAAATAGGATCTTTCAAATGAAATAAACATATCAATACCACAGAACCCTGAAGTTTAGGGACACATAAAAATACCTCTCACGGATCCAACAAGAGTACTTTCAGAAGCCACTCATATTCAAGGGCTCTCTTTTATTCCAGTTAGCTCAGGGCTCTAATCTCCAAACTGAGCAACTTAAAAATAAAAAAAAAGATACCATTCATTTTCAACTTTTAAAATGCCCTTTCTTGGAACAGTGGGATCAGTTTCAGATTGTATGCTTCCGGGAACAGTGCAGTATAAACATGTTTAAAGGCATATACTCAAACACTTATAGCAGTTTTACTAACTTTATACCCCCAAATCATTCCCTATGTGAATAAAGCAACGTTTATCACATAGGGAAACTCATAAATTTCATACCCGGTCTTACATTTGGTTGTAATTGTTTTATCTTTTATCTAAGTCGCCAAAAATATGGAAAAATTGCCACCCCCTCCAAAAACAAACAAACAAAACAAAACAAAAACAAAAACCTTGAGGTTTCAAACCACTTTATGAAAGAAAAAAAAAAAGCTTCATGAAAGGCCTGAACAATGAGTTTAAACATTAAGGAGAAAATGAGAAACGTCAGGTGTGTGAAGGAGGAAATGTTAATTTCATGCACTTAGGAACACACACTCACACCCCACAGTAGTAGAAGCAGTAGTAGAGGAAAACACTACATGTGTAGGGGTAGAAATATTTGTTACATCATGGTGCTGGCTGGCGATGGAGGGTTGCCGCCTTAGAGCCCCCTGAATGGTACTTCCACTCTGGAAAGCATTCACTACATCCATCTGCAAGGAATCAGAGATTGTGACAGCTTGCTCAGCAAGAGAGAGAGAGAGAGAGAGAGAACAAGAGAAAGGACCATCCCATCTATAAACACACAAAAAGTAAAGAAAAAGGCACTTTTTTATAGAGCAAATAGGCAAGAGTAGCATTTAGAGAAGAAGAAAAGAAAAAAAAAAATAAAGGAGCGCGAGGGACAGACACAATGCACACCAGCAAGTACATCTCGGTCATCTTAGACTATTCTTCAAAGGCCTAAGGTACCACGGTTTGGGAAGGCCAGGAGAAGTGAAGGGTACCTTCTAATCCCCTCCCCCAAGTAGGACAGCCCACAGCTACCTCTCGCATCCCCCAGCTCTCCTCCCCACCCATACCTGAGTTTGTATTCGGTTCAGACCCCTAAACCACAAGATCTGTCCTCGTCGTAACTCTCGCTCAGCGTGATCAATCTCTTCGACATCTTCAGCTAGTTCTTCCTCAGGTATTTCTTCTTTCTGTGTCCCATGACCAGCTTCTTTAAGGAATTTTAAACGGCTAGTTGGAATTGTTGAAATGAGCTATGAAGTAGGGGGAAGATCTCTAAGAATAACTCAAGTACATAATTAAACTGCTCAACTTTACACAGGAGATGCAATGACAAATGTGACTACTCTTATTAGGATCTTACTAGGATCCTACCAATCAGGTTATAAGTTAATCATTAATTAGAAATACTTTTATCTTTTCCTACATGGATAGAAAGATAGTTTACACGTTTAGTATTTTACACTTAATTGAGCATTTAAGTCTGGTTCCAAACTTTACAAATATACTATGACATCATATTTTGTTTCAAATAAAATAGAAATTCAGTGGTCATTCTCTTTGCTGTAGGTGAAAACAAATTTATACAATATAAACTCTTTCAACAGTAGACAAAAATTGTATCACTAGAAAATATGCAACTAAAAGGTCTCAACTGACTTGGCAAACACTGGAATATATGATAAAAACTAAGACTGGCAAAAGCATTGTGTATAACACGGATTCATGCCCCTCCACACCTCAAAGCACAGAGAACAATAAATGTACGTGGGATTCCTGATACAGTAAGGTCACTGGCAAGGTCAGAAGGCGGCTTTTCTTTGTAAGATGACTGTGGATGGTGACCCAAAGCAAAAAGGAAAACTAAAGGAAACTTAGTTTCAACTGAAGAATAAATTACCTGAAAGAAGATTTTGAAATTACTTAAAAAGGGTAAACCATGATAAATAGAGATTATTTCACACACATGTATCTATGTGTGCATATGTGTATGTGTGTATGTATGTATGTATATGCTTACGTTAAAAGCCTCTGAAGAAAAGTGAGCTAAAACCATAAATGCTGGTGGAGGGCAGCTAAGTAGTGCAAGAATGCTACTCATAACTTGTATGCATTAACACAATCCTTACATATGTATATGTTGAAAAATAGGATACTGATTGAACATTAAGAATGAATATTACCTACAAATAACATTTTCATCTATGCCCTTGGGGGAAAAATGACAAGCAAAAAACTTTAGCATAGCTTGGCATTTCTTTTTAGTTTCCCCAGACTAGACAGGACCTAAACATTAATTCTGTATTCATTACTATTTCCCTAAATGAATAGAAAAAAAAAGTCACTAAAACAAAATAATCTAACAATTTGAGTATCATAAGTACTCATGAGATCATTTTCAATGATTTTCAATAAGGCTTGTTTCATAAACTGCTTTTATATTCTCAGCAGAGAAGCCCTGAAACTTTTAAAAATATAGATAAATTCATGCAGCAGTGTGGTCTATCTAATGCCTTGGACACAAGCTGGCCCTCGGCAAATCATAACCTCTCTCTCTCCTTTAGAGGCGGCAGAGAATGGGCTGACCTGCACTGATAGAAGGGATTCTGTCATCTGCAGAGTCCCCTACACCACTGAAATCAGGTGCAGTCCCTACATAGGCATATTCATTGTGAACCAGATTCCAAGAAGGACACCTACCTGGAATCAAGTAGCAGACAGAATTAATTAAAAACAAAACAAACAAACAAACAAAAAACGCTAGCAAAAAAACTTAGAGTGACTTTAAGTCTTTACACAAAGAAAAGTGGGATTTTTACCTGGCCCCAGAGTAATGTTCCCATTCCTAGGAATACTGACCACAGCCACTGTTCTATTGAAAGTTCTGAACAACTGAAAGGTTTTCCACCAAACTGCACAATGATTATCTGGAGGAGCAATCAGAGTAAATTTATTTAATAAACAGTTTTCTTTTCTTAAAGGAATATTTAAGCTTTTTAAAATAAATAATTGCTTTTCTTCTAAACTGAAAAAAAAAACTTTTCTTAAAATCTTTCTAAAAAGAATATGCTAATTACAATAAAGTAGTCTTTATTTTTGCTGACATAGTTTAAAAAGCATTTGGGAAAAGCATAATATTTGTACTGAATATTGATCTGTGATAATGCTCTCTCACCAAGCTGAGTTACATGCCTATTTTAATAATAGGCATGTAAATGAAGAAATGAAAACCTAATTCTTAGTAATTAAATCAAGACTGGATCGATGTATACAACCCAAACGAAATTCTATACAACAACCCTTTCCTACATTTGTGGTACTTTAACTTAACACTGTGTTTTTTCTACTGAAGCTTTTCTTCTTAAATTAACAAAGCATACAAAGAAATAGCTATATTTATAGATTAAACCTATTAAAGTATGTAAAGAAAAAAGTTTAAGTGTTGGAATATGTCAAAAGGGCATATAATTTCAATGGTATAGAAACTCCATGTCCTGGCACAGACTTCACCCCATGCATTGTTTAGGAGAGGTGACAGGCTCCCAGAGGTTAACTGATTTATGGGTATCTGTGTTGTCCTTTTATGGTTCCCAAGAACCAATATCATCTCATGTGATCCTCCTAGTGCCCCCTGGGAAGGCAGGGAACAGCATCAAATTTATAAAAAGCTTACCTAAAACCAAGAGAGGTAAGTAGTGCAAGTATTCTCATCCTCAATTTATAGCCGAGGAAACTGAGGCTCAGAGGGGCTAAGTGTTTTGCCAAAGGTCACATGGTTCCTAAGTGGCTAGGGGAGAATTTGAACCCAGGTCTTCTGGTTCCAGGCCCAGTGTTATATATACTGAACTAAAAATGCCACGGCATCGTGCTTCTTAAATTTAATTTTTTTATTGCATAGCTGATTAAGGGCAGAAGAGATGAACCTCATCTTTGATTTGGGGCATGTTTTAGATTTTGGTATCTTTTTGCACAATACATACTGACCACAGCTGGAAAGTAAGATACCAGGTTTCCTCGATGGTACACATACACATTTGAATCTCATAGTTCTTATGATAAAAAAACAAATTAAAAAAAAAGTAAAGTTTAACAAATTTAAATATAAATTTTTTGTTATGCCAAGACACTTAAGTTCAAATTTTATGATGATGTGGACATGGCTTTTTCTAAAACTTATAGGGAAATATTTTCATGGAAATGTTTTTGCAAAGTGGCATCTCCTCCATGTTGACTGATACAAGCCCAAATTAATAATAAGGTTGTATAAAGTTATTTTCCAGTGCCCACAGTACAAAAGTAAATGGTATATGAACAGTAAAAAAATTGTAAAATCTCTATTTTTTAATTACTTAGTATTACTGAGAACACTTAAGAAGACTGGTTCTACTGCTGAAAAAGGCTCACTTTTTAATTCTAAATCTTACTGTGTTTACTGACTTCCTGTGTGATCATGCACAATTCACTTAATATTTGTCGTGGTCCCAGACTCTGTCATCTATAAAACGGAACAGCACCGCTAACAATCATTTGCAAAAAATGTCACAGGGCTAAATGCTACATAAAGACATACATAATCTATATCAGTAAATGATATCTCTTACATACAAAGTCATGACATTTTTCTTATCTCAGAATTTCTGAACAATGGGGAAAGTTTCTATTTTACAATACAATACAATTACACAATACAACACTGATAATGGCATTTCAAAATGTAAAATGCAACTTTAAAAATGACCTTAAAGGTGTTGAAAACAGCAAAAATGCAAGACCACGATAGTAAAAAATACTGATGATGTAGAACATATGATCTGGCTAGGCTTCATATTGAGATCACCAAGTATTTCTACAGTGTCAGTACTGGAACTGAGACACATTTTGCACTTGTAATATCTAAACAAATTCGACTCAACTTTTAAAAATGTGGAATTTCAGACTAAATCAGATTTCTACAATGGCTAACCCTAAACTAGTTTTTCAGTACAATGAAGGATTTGCTAAGAGGGGCATGGCTATCATCTGGAGGTCACTCCTATGACAAGGCTATCAATCAGCTATCACTGATATAATAATCCAATTGGGAAATGCCTTCCCAGTCACCTACCTGTACCACAAAAGTGCCCAGAACAATTGTACAGAAGATGGCATTATTGAAGATGCCTTCAAACACATTTCTTTCACCATGAATTTTTCGGGCATTTATCTCATTGAAAAGTTGCATGAGCACGAAGGTATTAAACACGATAGTATAATGTTCTGAAGGTGGAGCATGCAAAGGGGCATTTCTTCCACTGTCAATATCGAAAAATTTTTCCCCTGAAATAATAAAAAATTGCCATTTTGAAATCACACATAAAACACACTGAATGCATTTAAGTTAGGTGTGGAAGTTATTTTGATAAATAACCCTTTGTCTGGTCTCAAGGGAGACAGTGATAAGTTAACATTTCAAAAGCGCCTGCTGTCTGAAAAGCAGGAATTTTTAGGCTCAATGCCTTAGAAAGTTTATTCTACAGCAGGGATGGATATTCAGTTGGAAGAGGAATACATTAACTGAAGCCTTGCTAGAGCTGAACATCTTACCAGCAAACAAGAGGGTAAAGACTACCACAAGCTGATAGAATGCGTGACCCAAGATATTCTTCATCATTGTGCGAGAGATGAGAGGCTTATTTCTGCCATAAGGTTTCCGGAGCAGGAGAGATTCAGTAGGTGGTTCGGTTGCCAGAGCGAGGGATGCCAGCGTATCCATGATGAGATTTACCCACAGCATCTGCACGGCCTTAAGTGGAGAGTCCTATAAAAAGAAAGGTTTCCTCAGAGATATTCAGAAATATCCTGTAACTCAGAAACGTGTGTTGACATTTTTCAGTATTCACAATGTAAGCAGCAACATGGCTTCAAAACTTGATATCGTGTTTATTGTACTTTTCTTTAAAAAAGAAAGAAAGAAAGAAAGAAGCCCCATAAAACAAAACCGAGCAAAACAAAACGAAACAAAAACCCGAGTTGTCCACACCAACCTGAGTGATACAGGCACCTGTGAAGGCAACAATCACCGCCACAACATTGACCGTGAGCTGGAACTGAAGGAACTTGGAGATGCTGTCGTAGACATTCCGTCCCCACATGACCGCTTTGACGATGCTCGTGAAATTGTCATCGGTGAGAATGATGTCAGATGCTTCTTTCGCTACATCAGTTCCGGCAATTCCCTAATAGGGAAAGCAGCGCAGCACAGCACACAAGTGTTTTGTGAATCGGGCACACCAGTTCAATGGCAAAAACCCAACAAAGACATCATTACAGATGTACAGTGAGGCAAACCTAGGACTAGAAAATATCGACCTACGAGACAACCGTATCAACTGCTGCACAAGATCCCTCTTCCGACACGGTCTGGACTTGATTTTGGAACATTCTGCAACTCTGTGGCAAACCCCTGCTCTGCTCAGCTTTCTGTTAACGTCACAGTGTCTAAACGGTCCTGTCTCCCTCCTCTCCCATTCACACATACAATACAAAAGCAAAGTGTGCTGCATTTGGAGATGATCACAATTGGATTCCAGGTTCTGCCACTTAATGAATGCCTGGGTGACCTCTCTCAAATCACCTCTCCAGGACCTCCCGCTCTAGGATCCTGTGAATTCAACTTTTACATCTCACAGATTTACTCCGCCCTCCCCCTGCCTTTCTGTTCTTATAACACCTTGTAAGTTTTAAAATGCTAGAGGGGCTATGGGAAAACAGGCCAATCTGATGCTATTTGCGGAGCTGTGTAGAGGAAGTTTTTGTAGAAGGCATCTATGCTTCCCAAGTTACCAAACTGTGCATAGCCTTTGGATACTTTGCAGTACTAGGCCTATACCCCAAGGGGATTGAAAAAAGAGGACAAAAATATTTATGAGAAGCATATTTTGTGGTGGCAAAGAAAAGGAAGCTAGGGGAGTATCCATCAATTGGGGAGGTATTGACCAAATTACAGTAGAAGAGTAAAATGGAATACTAATAGGATGTGAAAAAGAAGAGACAGTTCAACCTTGTAACAACGAACAATTTTGGAAGACTCAAGTGCTTTCCTACCACCTTCAGGATCAAATATCGTCCTATTTGGCTTTCAAAGCCCTTCATCACCTGGCCCCTTCCTACCTTTCCAGTCTCCTTCCACCTTCTTCCTCCTCCACCTACACTGGGATCCAGAAACACTGGTTCCTTGCATAGGACACTCCCTCTCCCACCTGCAGGTATCTTCACTGGCTGTCCCCCATGCCTGGAATTCTCTCCCTCATCTACGCCTCCTGCTGACATCCTACCACCTGGAAGAAACCTTTTTCCAGTGCTCCTTAATCTCAGTGCCTTCTGTCTGATATCAGCCCCAATTCATCGTGCCCATATCCTGTTTGTGCACAGTTGTTTGCATGGCATTTCCTCCACTGGACTGTGAGCTGCTTGACAGCAAGGACCTTTTTTTGAGCCTTTCTTTGCACCCCAAGTGCTCAGCACAGTGCCTGGCATATAGCAGATGCCTGATATACGTTAACTGACTAAATGACTAATATGCAGAATGAGACACATTTTTGGACATGGCCAATAGGAAGATCTGTTTTGCCTGACTAAGCTTATTTGTTACAAGGATTTTGTTTTCAATTTTTCAGATGGGGGAGTGGGTGGAAAAAAAAAAAGGAAATAATAATTAAAAAAAAAATGGAAATAACTGGGTTAATAGTAATAAAAATAACTGGCACCCAGCATGCCAACCAATATATTACATTTCAACATCAACATCCTTTAAATTCCTACCATAGCAAATCCAACATCTGCTTTCTTTAGTGCAGGGCCATCATTAGTACCATCACCAGTCACAGCTACAACTTGTCGCTGTTCTGAGACAGTGCTATCAATTATACCTAAAATGAAGCAAAAATCAATACTTTTAAAACTGTTTTCTTTACTTCACTTTACTTCCAGCCTATAATGCAAATGTTTTATGCTGTCAGAGTAACAGTCACCCAAAATGCTAAACAAATTCCAAGCAATTCAAACCAAAATTGAGAAGGACAACACCGCATTTTAAGAGCACACTGCATAATTAAAGATTACTATTAACAACAATAGCTTAGTTTATCAAAGAAAATGAATTGGTTTGAGACAGCAAAGAAAAATTAGTTTTATAAGTTTCAACAACCTATTTTGTAGCTAAAAAGTTACTATTTCAGAAACACTAGTGTTTCACATGGCTACACATGCATTACCTATATCAAATTGCTTGCCTTTCTCAATGGGGAGGAGGGAAGGGAAGGAGAGAATTTAGAACTCAACATTTAAAAAAAAATGTTAAAATTGTGTCTACATGTAATTGGGAAAAAAACAGAATATTAAATAAGATAAAAAAAAGAAATACTGTACTTTTAATCATCTGAAATGCTAAGCATTTTTATTTAAAAACCTGATTACCTTTAACCAGTGTGTGCTTGTCAGTGGGAGATGATCTGGCAAGTACTCGAAGCTTTGGCCAAATCTTGTCTATGCGTTCTTGTTCAATCTGCAAATTTAATCAGGGTTAAAACTAGCCAATGCTAATTTATTAAGTGGCCATTCAGCCGCCCAATTTTTCTCCCCTCCCATCTACCTTCCATCCCACTCCCTGGAGAATAAAATACAGCCCGGCTCACTTTCTCAACTTCAAAAGCTTCAACTATATTTTTCCAAATACCTATTGAACAAAGTCCAATCTCTGCAAGCCTGACCCTTGTAGCCTTTGACAGTCAGTCCCCAACCAGTATTCCTAGCTGTTGGTTTCATGCATCTTCTTCTTCCTTCCTAATCCCTCCACAGTCTAGCCGATGAAATCCCAAATGTCTTTTCTAGTCCAACTCAAATG